ACTGGAATAAACTTTTGTGAATGTTATTTGGTAGGGGTCAAAATTCATTATTTCTAGGCACACATCCACTTATTCCAACACCATTTATTATAGAGACTTTCTTTTATCCATTGGATTATTTGGGTCCTTTGTTGAAAAGAAATTGACCATGTATGATTGGATCTAATTTTAGACTTGTCTTCCATTGATTCCTTCCTCTCCTCTTATACAGTCCCTCATTTTATTGATTACTATAGCTTTATAGGAAGAACTGTTTATAAAATTTGTAAGATAATTTGTTTTAAAATCCTCTAGGCCTTTTCTCATGCACAATTTTGTGATCTTTGAATAAAAATTTTATTCCTTTCTTTCCTGTATTTTTGTCATGTATTTATTTTTATTGCCTTATTGGTTAGAGTTCACAGACAGTATATTTTAAATCAAATTTTGGAATCTGGCCATTATTTCCTTAAATATTGGCTCTGTACCTTACTCTGTCTCTTCTGTTGGGATTCCAAATACTTGTTTATTAGACTATTTGACGTTGACCCAGAGGTCAGTAATGCTCTGTAATTTAAAATTTTGCTTTTTTTCTTATTCGGATAGGATAAGTTCTATCAATTTGTCTTCAGGTTCATTTACACTTTTACTTGCTCTCACCACTCTGCTTTTAAGCCCATTCAGTGACTTCTCACATCAGATACGTTTTAAATTTTGTTTCTTTGCTGAAATTGTCACTTACTATGACTATCTTTTCCTTTAAGTCTTTTTTTTAGTTTATTTATTTATTTTTAACATTTTTATTGATTTATAATCATTTTACAATGTTGTGTCAAATTCCAGTGTAGAGCACAATTTTTCAGTTATACATGAACATATATATATTCATTGTCACATTTTTTTCTCTGTGAGCTACCATAAGATCTTGTGTATATTTCCCTGTGCTATACAGTATAATCTTGTTTATCTATTCTACAATTTTGAAATCCCGTCTATCCCTTCTCACCCTCCGCCCCCTTGGCAACCACTAAGTCTTAATTGTAATAATTATGCTTAAATTCTGGTTTGCTGATTCTAACATCTGAGTCATGTGCAAGTCCTATGCACTTCAATTAACTGTTTTTTTCCTTGATATAGATCACATTTTTTTTCTTAGTATACTTAGTAAATTATTATTAGAGAATCTTCATGGCAAATTTGTTGTAGGGAATCTAGATTCTGTTTTATTCCTTTGAACATATTTTTAAATTGTGGGTGGCAGCAACATAATTAGCTAACCATCTTGTATTTTTGGAGGCTTTGATTTGCACTTTGATAAGACATGTCTTTTAGTACTGTCTTTAGTCCTGGGGCCTATTTTTTATCCTTGGTGGTCTTTTATCTTAGGGCAAGGTCTGCGTTTTTTTCGTTTGTTTTTAATGAAATGCCTAAGGTGTTTATATAAAGCCCATTTGACTTGGTAGGATATGAGTTCTAAATTCTCTCTTGCCAGTACCAGGCAGCAGCTGAAGTTCCTCCTTAGAAATTTTCTAGCTTTTTACCTTCTTAGCTTTTCAGCAAGTTCCTTAGTGTCTTGTTCTATACGTGAATAATTTAAGAGTCAGCCAAGATTCTTAATTCAAGAGTCAGGTTTAGGGGAGATTTGTGTGCAGGTATTGTGACTCCTTCCTCTGTGGTGCCTTTCTTTCTGGGATTTCTCCTTTCAATTTACACTCACTCTTG